GTGGTTAGAAATATGATTTAAAATATGTGCAGTGGTTTGTTTTTCTAGATTGAAACGAGGAAAACAAATCTTATGGTGATTTCTTAACTTGAGTTTTAAAAATAAGAAAAAACATAGTGATCAAGATCAGAAATATTCATGTTCATATACCATGTTCATATACGCATGCAGCAACAAAAAAAATGAACAAACCTGGTGATAGCCGATTGGTGACGCCGGAACGGAGATGGTGATTGCCGAGATCTTGGCGTGAATGGCGTAGGCTTGAGAACGCACGAACTGGGAGAATGTGAGATGCTGATTGCCGATTCGTGAGGGCGGAGAAGACGAGAACGACACAGGGGTTGAGGGGTTGAGATCTGTGAATTTCGGCCGACTTGGGAGAAGGGTTGGAAATCGGGTAGGGAGAAGGGCTGGGAAGTGGAATTGGGTTTTTTTTCATTGGGCTATAACTAAAAGATTTGGTCTGGGCTAGTGGGCTTACATATATTTAACAGTTAACACTTACTATGGGCTCGGTTATTCGGTCGGTTTCGGTTAACATTGCCCAAAATCGAAACCGAAACCGATAACCGAATTAACCGAATTTTTTTTACATTAAAACCGAAAACCGAAACCGAATTTAAAATTGCGGTCGGTTCGGTTATAGTGTATCGGTTAATCGGTCGGTTCGGTTAATTTGCTCACCCCTAGGCTCAGATGGTCCGAATTTTAGAACATTGGCAATGGCGAGGCAAATGCCCGCCACGCTTGGCTTGTGCGTTCTTCCACGCAAGACATGTCCTGTGCGAGGCATTCTTCTTTCTTTTTTCTTTTTTTAATTTTTTAATTTTTTAATTTTTTTATTTGTAGAAAAAAGGTTTTTTTTTTGAAAAAAAGAGTGCATATATTTTTATGAAAAAAAGATAATTAAAATATATTTTTATAATTGAAATATGTCACAAAATTGTAAAAATGACAAAAATAATTACTTGTCACTACATGACATGTCACTTCACCCACTCGCCACACGCTGACTAAACTCTTTTTGTTTGGTTCAAATGATACACGTCATCGTGTGTCATTCCATTTTTTGACCACGTCCCCTTACATGCATGTGTGATTTCTTTGAGTCTTGTACGTGAGATCTTAACTTTTTAAAAACTGAATGATGATAAGTTTCAAACTTGTGACCTCTTGGTCATCAAGACCCTGATATCATATCAAAAAATTATAACTCAATCAAAAACTCATATTTGTGATCGTAGGCCAAAAAATGATTTTTATATAAACTCTAACAAAACACAATCATATTAAATGATGATAACACAAAATAAAATAAGATGATTTTTTGATGATTTGATTGTGTGTGGGTAACTGGGTAAGTAATGCATGCTAGTCCTCATATGATAAAATCTCATGGAAAAGTAAATGCTCCAGGGCCGCCAGGCGACACCATGGAAAAACATCGTGAATGAAGATATCAATGCGTTCTATTTGTTGTTGATTATTGGGGAAAAAAATTCACACTGAATATCTCTAAGGGCATCCACAATGGTAGCATCCCTCACTAGATGTTAAAGTGTGGAGTTTACTTTTAAAATGCCAATTGAGCACCCTTCTCAACATCTAAACCTTTCAATAGTGGCATCTCATATGGATGCCTCATTTTATTCAATGAATGCAGTGGGTCCATATAAATATATTTATATTTTATTTTCTTAATTATAAGTATTTATTATATGATAATTTTTAATTAAGATTAATTATTTACTCGTTATTATTAATATTACCTTCTTCCTATAATATATATCTAATTTTGACTTTTTACATTTAAATTAATAAATTTGGTCTTTAATTAAATAAAACTTATATTAGATATTGATATAAAATTAAATTTCTTAGATTTATGTTGTAAAATATTTTAAAAATTTTTTTATGTAATTAATATATGATGTACTCCGGAGTAGTTAATATTGTTTCTAAACAAACAGAAAAACAAATACCTAAGAAAATTTTCAAAATAAATAAAAAATAGTCATTCCATTAAAAAAGAGTTTGAATTCTAGAACATTGCAATATCTAATTTTTTGAAGTTGCCAAATCTAATTTAATAAAAAAAACTTTTGAGCCTTCATAAAAACTACAAATGCAAACTTTTAAATTGAAAAAATAATAAATTGACACATGGCACATATATATTGGACCACAATACTTAAAAAACAAATGCCTCAATTCTTCCATCCTCAAGCATCGGGTGCTAGGCCAAGCATCTTCCTTTCATTTTTCTCTTTGAGCATCTTTATTGGGCATCCATCTACAATAGTAGCATCCATCAGCATCTCACTCTCTCTCCTCCTAGCATCTCTTTTGAACATCCCATTGGAGATGGCCTAATGAATGAGCGATTTTATGTGAATACTACATAAAAAAATACTCCCTCCGTCCAAAAAAGAATGGGACGGTTTGACTTTTTGAGAAATTAAGGGATGGATATTTTGGTATTGACTTTCCAAAAATACCCTTGATGTGATGGGTAAAAGTAGAATGTGATAGGTAGATTATTAGGAAAAAGGTATGATGTGATAGGTAGGGTATGAAAAAGTAAGGGGTAAAAGTGGTTTTTTAATAGAAATGTAACGAACTTTACGGGACGCAGTTTTTTCTAAACGTAACAAACTTTTTGGGACGGAGGGAGTACTACGTATTAACGGTTTAAATATTGACAAACCAAAAGTGAAATATGGTAAAATTGAAAAACTTACATGTATTTTTATTTTATTTAGATAAATTACGAAGTGTTTCAATCAATAGAAAATTTTAAATTTAAAATCTTATAATCAAAATTATATTCGTTAGATTTGTCTCAAGAATAAAAAACCAACGGTATGTCTTTCGAAAAAATCTAATAAATACTCCATTTTTTTAATTATATCTTTTTTTCATATTTAAACTATTTTTGTCCATCATACTACCTATACCATTATACTCATATATAAAGATTGAACCAGAATACCAGATTAGTCTTATTTTTTATATTTTAGTTAAGTTTTACACTCTTTATAAAATTTCTTTTAGTAGTACGGAGTATTAGAATTAAATTTTTTCCCACTCAAATGGTTCGTACTCCGTAATTCGGAAAGTTACATGGCGGGCCCAAGAAAAATGAAGGTTACCGGGCCACGACATACTTTTTTGTCTGCAGCTAAAATAGAGGGGTGAGGAAGCCCAGATGCCCTGTCTGGGACTATGAGGTGAGGTGTGTATGGGGCATTTCAAACTTCAATCTTGCCTCATGTGCCACACGTGTCTTGCCATTCCCAATGACCCATAAAATGATTTCCAAACCATCAAGTAGGCTAAGAAATTTACCACTCTTTCAATAAGTATATGTAGATGAATTATTTATCGAAGAACAGAAAAATTACATTTGTTTGTATTTTTTCTAGAGATTGAAAATATGAAAAGCGATATAGAAGAAGATAACAATCCAAAAAGAGAAAAAAAGAATTTTTTGTCCTCACTCCAATCGCCAACACTCTCACCAGAAAAAATGCAGCAAACGTAATCTATAATTTGTTCTTCATGCAAAGAAGATTTGGCTCTTGACTTCTAAAGACTATCCTCACAAAATTAATTCCACTGGTACCTATGCTCTAAGTTGTTCCTCGTTACCGATGATTAGACTTGTGCAAATAAGGATCCGGGCCAGACCGGGCTTGATACAAATTATCAGCCCATTTGCATGGGCGGGCTTGGCCCGGCCCGGAATTGATGGGCTAAACTCTTTACTCATATCCGCCCACTTTAGCGGGCCGAACTGCCCACCGGGCCGCTCGGCCCGAATAAAACATCAAGTAAATCTTTTTTACACAAAAAAATCAAAAAGAAAATATTGAACTCCTTTTCAAATGTTTAAAATAAAATTACCACTCACCACATTTACATGGAAAACATAATAAAAATATTGTTACATAATTAATAAGAGGTGTGAGTGTTATGAACTACTCCCAAATTATAATGCCTATTTACTATTCACAGGGTCAAACTTCATTCACTTTCTTTCTCTATTTTCGTTATCAATTTGATAAAATAATATATTGTTGTCACTACTAGTTTTGTAGATCTTTTGATGTAGTATTTTGATATGTAATTTTTATTTTTTAACTCTATACCATTTGTTATATAAAATGATTTAAAAATAACTTCAGTCAAACATCGTAAACCAAAACAAGCGTTATAAAATGGGACAGAGGGAGTATTATACATGAATTAAAGAAAATTTTAAAATTTATAATGTCTAGATAATTAATAATAAAGTAAATGTATTTAATGAATATGGGCGGGCCTATTGGCCCGGATGGGCTAAAAGTAACTTCTAGATCCGCCCAAATACAATTCGGGCTTGGGCCAGCCCACCCATGTGGGTATTAAAGATTGTTCATATCCGCCCATTTTAAAGGGCGGGCTGGGCGGGCCGGATGGGCCGACCCTTGTTTACACAGGTCTACCGATGATCAGCTTGAACAAGGATATTAGGAATAATGGTGTATTAGGAAATAGAATATTATTTTTTATTACCTTCCTTATTGTGGTATTTCATTATTGTATTTTTACTATAATTCTTCTATTACTTAGATTAAAATTCTCCCTTGTAATTTCTATATATATACTCCCTCCGTCCCATGAAACATGGGAGTTTTGCTTTTTAGGAGTGATTTAAAGGGAGTGTATTTTGGTATTGAATTTTCAAAAATGTCCTTTGATGTGATGGGTAAAAGTATGATTTGATGGATAAATTATTAGTAAAAAGGTATGATGTGATAGTTAGCGTATGAAAAAATAAGGGGTAAAAGTGACTTTTTAATAGAAATGAGAAGTGTTTTGTGGGACAGATAAAAAAAGAATGGAGAAAGGTTTTATGAGACGGAGAGAGTGTATATATATATATATATATATGAATATATCCTTCATTATTCAATAAGACAAATTATTATCAAATTGTATTAGTATTCAAAGCAAGCAAATTAATTTGGCTAGAGAGATTATAAGACCGAATAGTGGAGCGTTTTAGTCCCACATAACGCCTAACCATGCCGGAATTGTCAGTCCCCTTGCTCGTGAATTCCAATTTCTGCCCAATCTTCGTGAATCAATTCACGCCACAATGCACACCTATTTCTACATCATTTGCTCCATTATTGGTTGATTAATTTGTTAAAAAATGAAATAAGTAACAATTGGAGAAGGTGAAAGGGAGGTGAACCACTACACCATTTTTTTTTGAAAGAAATAGATTATGTTGGTGTGGATGCCACATGGTGGAAAACACTCACAAGGGAAGTGAACCATTACGAAGGGTTTAAGGGCGCAATTGGGAAGAATTTTGGCATTTAATGTTGGTGTTTTAAAAATATTATCTAGCTATACTAACAGCAATTATGTTAAAGAGCATCCCACATCAGAAAAGTGTGAGGAAATTAATCGGTATATAAGCTCTATCTTGAGTTGAACTAACTAATCGATTGGATTCAATCTTTTAATGTGGTTCA